AGAGACGGGAGTCATCATACCGCACAAAGGAAGGGCAGATCAAAATGACGCGGTACATGTTGATGCGGACACTGCGACAAACATACCTTTGGATCCTCTCAAATATCACGCAATGTCGCTGAAAAACACCGTTAAACTTCATGCTCAATAAAGTACAGTCACAAGTACAGCGAGGATGTATCACATTGTGGTACCATTATTCGTGCATCATGCATCGTTCCCGCTGGTGTGAAGCCTTGCCCATCTGGTATCAGTCCCATGCGAAACCCTACCTATGCTTCGTCAACGCCGCGTCAAGCCTCCCGAGTTCTTGGTCGTCTGCACGAGACAAACAAAGGAGATTAAAGGAGATTAAAGGAGATTAAAGTCGATGAATGCGTCCAAGACATAGGGTTAGCTCCTTCTTCACCGCAGTTGGTCTATGCTTGATGCCACGAGTTGCGTGTAACGACAGAAAGATGAGTGCAAAATACCTGGGGTATGTGCGATAATCAACAAGTCGACAACCAAAGCACCTCACCAACGAAATCGAGTGCTTGGGTCGTCCGCGAGGCCGTTGTGAATCGCAACCCATCCTTCCACTTGTCTGGTGTGAACAGCTTAGCTTCCCCCACAGCAAATGATACGGAGACGCCGCTGGAACCAGCTTTCGAAAAAGGGCTCCAGCAGCCTATCCACAGGCCTCCTTATTGAAATAAATCGGGGCCATAAGGACAGCGTTATCCGCTGGTCTCGTCGACCTCGTTTCGATGGAAGGAGTCAGCAAACGGTCAGTGTTCTGATACAACGCTTACCTTGCAACATAATTCACAGATCAAGTCTACTTCATCATTGGGAAGTGTCGCTTGATGCCCGAGTGACTCCTTCATGTCGGTAAGTTATCCGTCGATCCGTCGATGAGGCCTAGACCTCCCTCAAAAGATGAGCGCCACAGAATGTTGCATCAGAGAAAGGCGGCGCGTGCGCAGGGGAAATCTTTGCATCATCGACCATGGATTTCGTGGCCTGAAATGAGGAAGACCGCTTGAAAATTTCGAAGTCTCACATCGGTCGGGGCAGTTCGTGAAGAGGATGGAGGATCCTAGTGTCCAGAACGATACGCCCAAGCTGAACCAATTGTCTGAAAAAATATTCTAGAGAACGTCCGCGATAACATATGGCACTGTCGAGTGGTGCGGGATCACGAGTCCATAACCTCCTCGTAAATAACATGTTCATGGCAACAAGCACGCGGGTGCTGGTATCGAGGGTGACGAGGGGGAGGAGTCTGCATCAGAAAAATACAGAATATGAGCAGGGCAGGACTCGCATAGCATGCAGTAACAGCATGCTGCACAATCCGCAAACATGCTGGGGAGTATCGACTCGGAAAACAGACAGGCTCATGCAAGGAAGAGAGGAAAGCGCTCTGTTGAATGTTTATCAACATCAATATAGTTCCTGATATATAGAAAGATACGTCTAATGCCAGTCGCAGAACCTGAGAGCTCCATCCACATATCACTTAACCTGCGAAGAGAACGCATGGGACGCGGCCTAAAATTGACTTCCATGACTCCCACTGTCTCACCTGGCAGTTGATCGTTCGCATCTGTGATCGGAGAGTATCTGTGTGAGTCGGACTGAACGCTGTGTCTCGTGAGCCTGAAGCTGGCCATTCACTTACGGATTCACGGAAAAACTCTTGCGATTCCTCTCAAAAGGCCAAAGCAACTTTCGTATAAATAGTCTTGGAGTGCAAACGGTAAGTGGGTAGTAAGCGCATCCAACGATGGGATGGTAAGAATACTTGAAATTGTGAGATGTCGAGAGCAGTGAAACAGTTCTCCAGGATACAAGACTAGCCCACACCTGTTGTGCCTTCGGCACATGTCTACATATTATTTATTTGTATTAAATCTTACATTTACAAAATACTATATACTTTTATTTTAGTTCTGAGGACAGAGGACACGGGAGAATTTTTTGGGAAGGGCAAGAGTCAACAGCAAGACACAAACAGTGAGACTGAAGTTTACCTGGGACACTGGCTTGCAATCCTGTGGCCTCATACCTCGGCCAGTGGGATGCAAGCCAGTGTCCCAGGTAAACTTCAGTCTCACTGTTTGTGTCTTGCTGTTGACTCTTGCCCTTCCCAAAAAATTCTCCGTGTCTCTGTCCTATTTTCTGCTTTCCTATCTCCCGTTCTCCTGTTCTCCTGTTCTGCCATTCTCCTGTTCTCCTGTTCTCCCATCCTCCTGTCCTCCTCCTCCCATCTCCCCATTCACCCCATTTCTCCATTCTCCACCTTCCCATTCCCATGTTTACCCATTGCCCATTTTTCCTATCTTTATATTTTCGCATTTTTCGCATTTTTCACATTTTTATGTATACACAATTACAGTACATATATACATCATTGTTGTTTTCACATTTTTCTATTTGCTTGGTGTTCTTTTCTATCCCAAAATCCCTTGTTGTGGCTTAACCAATTTTGGACAGTGAGGTCATATAGTAAGGGAGAACGGTTTTTGGAAATTCAAACTCCGATTGACAGAACCACGCGAAATTTCTAAATTGAGGTTAAGCGAGCTAAGCGTTCCCATGTGGCCTTTAGCGAGCTACGCGTCTCCCACACACAGCCACAAAACCAGTCCCTGTGAATTATACTAGCCCAAGCCCGTTGTGCCTTCGGCACAGGAAGCAAGCAGAGCACTTTGTGCTCTGCTGGAGACACCTTCGGTGCCTTGCCCCAATGTGTCTACATATTATTTAATTATAACAAATCAATAATTTCTTACATCTTACATTATATAGTTTGTTTTAGTTATGGGATGTTGCACAAACAGTTTGACTGAAGGTTACCTGGGACACTGGCTTGCGATCCCATGGCCTCATGCCTCGGCCAGCAGGATGCAAGCCAGTGTCCCAGGTAACCTTCAGTCAAACTGTTTGTGTCATGCTATTGACTCATACACTTCCTCCCAATTATCTTGTCCCATGTCCCATTGTCCTGTGTCCCATTGTCCCATTGTCCCGTGTCCCATTTTCCTGTGTCCTGTGTCCTGTGTCTCATGTCCCATGTCCCATTGTCCCATTGTCCCATTGTCCCATTGTCCCATTGTCCCATGTCCCATGTCCTGTGTCCCTGTGTCCCGTGTCCCATGTCCTGTGTCCCATGTCCTGTGTCCCGTGTCCTGTGTCCCGTGTCCCATGTCCCTCCCATCTCCCATCCTCCCATTGTCCTCCTGTTGTCCTCCCATCCTGTTGTCCTCCTGTAGTCCTGTCCTCTCATCCTCCCATTGTCCTCCCATTGTCCTGTCCTGTTGTCCTCCTGTTGTCCTCCCATTCTCCCATTGTTCTTTCATCCTTCTGTTGCCTACCATTTCTCAATTCTCCATCTTCCCATTCTCCTGTTTACCCATTGCCAATTTTTGCCATCTTTATATTTTCGCATTTTTCCATTTTTCACATTTTTCTACTGGCTTGGTGTTCTCTTTTCTCTTTTCCCTTTTTGTCCTTCAATTTTTACTATTTATCATCATGTACCACAGTTACAGTACATATAAAATCATTGTTGTTGTGCAAAATGGAGGGCCAGTGAGCACCTGCCAATCCCATCTTTCTATTTGCTTGGTGTATCCCATTGTGGCTCAATTTTTACAAATTCCCAATTTTGGACAGCGAGCTCGTATAGTAGGGGACAATGATTTTTGGAAATTCAAACTCCGGTTGACAGAACCACGTGGGATGCTTTTTTCAGCTACCTTAGCGAAATAACCGTATCTAACCTTCACCAGCTGACGCTGGCGAGGCCTACCGACACCATGTGCGCTACTGCGGAAATGCCCAAATCGTCCCACCCCTTCCCCCACACCGTTCTCCCTTACTTTATAGACTAGCCCAAGCCTGTTGTGCCTTCGGCACAGGAAGCAAGCAGAGCACTTCATGCTCTGCTGGAGGCACCTTCGGTGCCTTGTCTCACTGTGTCTACATATCATTTAGTTGTGTGAAATCAATCATTTCTTACATCTTACATTTTAAAAATATATATAGTTTTGGTTTTAGTTATGGGATATTGCACACAACACAGTTTGACTGAAGGTTACCTGGGACACTGGCTTGCATCCCGATGGCCGAGGCACGAGGGCCACGGGATCGCAAGCCAGTTGTCCCAGGTAACACTTCAGTCAAACTGTTTGTGTCATGCTATTGACTCATACACTTCCTCCCCAATTATCTTGTCCATGTCCCATTGTCCCATGTCTTGTTGTCCCACGTCCTGTTGTCCCATTGTTCCCATGTCCCGTGTCTCGTTGTCCCGTGTCTCGTTGTCCCGTTGTCCCATTGTCCCGTGTCCCATGTCCCGTTGTCCTGTTCTCCTGTGTCCCATTGTCCTGTGTCCCAGTCCCATTGTCCTGTTCTCCCGTGTCCCATTGTCCTGTGTCTCCATGTCCTGTGTCCTGTTCTCCCGTTCTCCTGTGTCCCATGTCCCATGTCCCGTGTCCCATTGTCCGTGTCCTGTGTCCTGTTCTCTGTTCTCCCGTGTCCCATTCCATGTCCCATTGTCCTGTCCTCCTCTTGTCCTCCCATCCTCTTGTCCTCCTGTAGCCCTCTCATCCTCCCATTGTGTCCTCTGTCCTCCTCTTGTCCTCCCATCCTCCCATCTTCCTATTCACCCCCATTTCTCCATTCTCCATCTTCCCATTCCTCTGTTTACCCATTGCCAAATTTTCCCATCTTTATATTTTCGCAATTTTGCATTTTCACATTTTTGCATTTTGCATTTTTCACATTTTTCTACTTGCTTTGGTGTTCTCTTTTCTCTTTTCCCCCACAAAAATCCCAAAATCCCTTGTTGTCCTTCAATTTTTACTATTTATTATGTATTCACAGTTGCAGTACATATAAAATTCATTGTTGTTGTGCAAAATGAAGGGCCAGTGAGCACTTGCCAATCCCATTGTGGCTCAATTTTTACAAATTCCCATGTTTGGACAGTGAGCTCGTATAGTAAGGGACAATGGTTTTTTCAAATTCAAACTCCGCTTGACAGAACCACATGGGATCCTTTTTTCAGCGACCTTACCGACGCAACTGACACCATGTGCGCTACATGGAATACGTGTTTCACACGGTTTCCCCCATACCATTCTCCCTTACTTTATAGACGAGTCCAAGCCTGTTGTGCCTTCGGCACAGGAAGCAAGCAGAGCACTTTGTGCTCTGCTGGAGCCACCTTTGGTGTCTTGCTTCACCATGTCTGCATATTATTTATTTGTATGAAATCAATAATTTTTCACATCTTACATTTAAAAAATATTATATAATTTTGTTTTAGTTGTGGGATGTTGCACAAACAGGGAGACTGAAGTTTACCTGGGACACTGGCTTGTCATCCCATGGCCTCGTGCCTCGGCCATCGGGATGCAAGCCAGTGTCCCAGGTAAACTTCAGTGTCCCGTTTGTGTCTTGCTATTGACTCATGCCCTTCATCCCAATTCTCCCATCTCCCGTTCTCCTGTCCTCCTACTGCTCTAATAATGTCACATCACCCCATTTCATACATCACTCCCATCCAATCAGAAATCAAATCATATTATAGGAACAACTCTAACACAAAAAACTATTCAGAAGGCTCCCAGCCAGGTGGAGGGCCCTCCTGCATAGCTCATCCAAATGCCGACGCTCCTCTCGACTTTTTCCCTTCTTCTGCTCAAAGATGTGCTTTCGCCAAGCATCCACCACTTTGCGACGCTTTCGACATTTCAGTGCCTCCTCCAACTGAGAGCAGAAGGTATCCACATCCCTATCATCACTCTTGCGGTCATGCTCAAGTTGCTCTTCCCACCACATGATATCCTTTGCCAACTTACCTTAGATCGTTGCAGGTCATGGAGTTGCTGATCCATGGCATTGCGATCCTCTCGCCGAGTGGCGACCTTAGCATACGGGTTGTTGACTTGTCTCCGTTCAAGACGCGTCATGTGGCTCTCGGACCAGCGGCGATGGAGTTCAGCAGACCAGTCGGTCACAGCAGGCGCCGACAACTCAGAAGCAGCAGGTACTGGAGGAGTTGTGGAGGTGGGAGGTGGGGCCAGCATGTTGACAGGCTGGCGATAACATTGCTGCAGGTGGGCAGCAAAACTTGCATCAAAGCCCTGCAGAAGCCTGGCATTCCAGTCGACAGTAGGTCTGGGCTCCTGCCTTGCAGCTACCATAAATATACAATCAAACAGACATAGAGAGAGAACAACTCACCTGGGGACATGGCCTGGAGTGTCACATGATGTGGCCAAAAATGCGCCAGAGCCAGCATCAGGTGCTGAGGAAGCACTAAAAATAGTTGCTGTAAATTGTGTGATCAGACAAAAACAGATGCTGAAGAACTCACATGGTGATGTGACCCAGTGTGACAGGGAGCTCCGCGTCATGTGACGCGTCCAAAAACGCGTCCAAACCATTGTTAGGTGCTGGGGAAGTGTTGGAAATGGCCATGGTTGGGTGTTGAGGACACTGAGAGGCAGTAGCTGATGGTGAGAGGTGATGGCAGGTGATCAGAAGCGATGGCAGGTGATTGGGAGCTGATGGAATAGTAGAGCAGTGTTGTGTTGTGTCGCGTTGCGTCAGTGCTGAAAAAAAAAAACCATGCAATGTTGCCAAATCGAGCGAAATGTACATATAACCAAATTCGGACACCGAGCTTGTATAGTAACGGACGATGGTTTTGGGAAGTTCAAACTCCACTTGACAGAACCATGTGGGATGCTTTTTTCAGCCAACTTAGCGAAATAAGCGGGAAAAACATGGCATCCACATGGATGCCATGCAACAAAATGTGGCGTCCATGTGCAGGTGGCTGCATTCCCACCCTCCCCCCTCACCCTTCTCCCTTACTTTTTAGACGAGTCCAAGCCCATTGTGCCTTCAGCACAGGAAGCAAGCAGAGCACTTCGTGCTCTGCTGGAGGGGCCACGGGCCCCTCCAGTCTTTATCATTTCAACATAGTGCTCAACACAATTTCAATAAATAAATAAATCTTTGTCATATACAATACACATTTATACAATCTGTTGTACATCAATCTTCAATCAGTCTTCTAACCACCTCTGTGTACACTATATTGCTTGTCTTTCTCTCCTCTTCATCTTCAGGGAAAATCACAAATACTCTTGATGGGTGAGTGCACCGAGACAAACCCACATACAGCTGTCCATGACTGAACACAGGTGTCCTCAAATTCAGACCAACCCACTTGACACTCTGACCTTGAGCCTTGTTGATGGTCATTGCAAATGCAAGTCACACAGGGAATTGTCGACGCTTCAGAGGAATGGGGTTCTCTTCATCACTGGCCTCCATATTCATCCGAGGAATTAGCACAGTGTCTTCATCTTGACCATCCACTTGGTTGTTGCCCTCTTTGAGAATTCGACACTTGAGAATTCTTGTGTTCCAATCCACCAGGATCATCCGAGTCCCATTATACAGTCCCTGTGTGGGGTCCAAGTTGCGCAGGAGCATCAGAGGCACTCCTTTCTTCACCTCCAGTTTGTGCAGAGGGAACCCTGATGGGTTAAGAGTGTGAAGGAACTCTTGAGGGATGTATTCGTATTCCCTGTCTGTCACTGAGTCTGCACTTGTGAACAACTTCTTGTCTCCAGCAAATGAGTCGAGAATTGAGGTGTTGATCTCGTCCACATCAGTGTTTTTTGCAGAGAGGATTGTGCGGTCCAGGAAGTAGGAGTCAGGCAAGGGAGGATGATTGGGTTGGAGGACATCAGAGTAAAGTTTGTTGATCAGGGATGGGATGTCATTGTTGGGACATTGCATTCCTTCTGGAAGAGTCACTGTGCCATCTCCATCTGTGCCCATACCACCCCCAATCTCAAGGAGCCATGCAGCAAATTGATCAGATGCAGGATCTTGACCAAGACGCATGTTTGTCTTGAGGTGGAAGATGCGAAGTCTTGGCCAGAGGTGAGATCTGCAAAAGGTGGCACTGACAATCTGCTCCCTGGATCCATGAGGCACCACTGGCAGGGTCTGTCTGAAGTCTCCTCCAAACAGCACAGTAATTCCTCCAAAGTCGGCATCAACACCAAGAAGATCGCGTAAGGTGCGGTCCAAGGCTTCCAGGTTGTGACGGTGGAGCATTGGTATCTCATCACAGATGATCAGAGAGGTGCGCTTCAGAAGCTCATGGACAGGATCTCCCTTCTTGATGTTGCAGGTGCTGTCCTCATGGATGGGGATGGGGAGCTTGAAACGGGAATGAGCTGTTCGTCCACCTGGCAGAAGGAGAGAGGCAATTCCAGAGGAAGCCACACAGAGAACAATCTTGCCCTCAGCATGCAGTTTTGAAGCAATGAGATTGCAGAGATATGTCTTGCCACATCCACCTGCACTGTGCACAAAGTGGGGATGTCCAGGTGTTTGATCATCACAATTCATGGCATCTTCAACCACTGCATCAAAGACTTGTCTCTGCTCCTGGTTGAGGGTGGGCACTCCTCTATCCACAGCTTCCTGGAGAACGTCCTGGTCATAGTCCAGTTGCTCGACTATCAGCTGGTTTCCCTCCCTGTCCCCCCAGTTCATATGAGAGCGAGGTATGTCAGGGAAGTTCACCTTGAGGGACTTGGCATTCTTGTGAAGAAGACCATCAATGAGATAGAGACCATAGTCATGGACCTGCTCTGGAGTGGGATCCTGTATGTGCAGTCGATGAATGAGACGGTGACGCAGATCATCGCAAAGATTGTCCTTGAAGTCGTTCCAAAGCAGATGAGGGTTGGTAGGGAGGCAGTGGAGGAGTATGATGACAAAAAGACTTCGCAGGCCATGTCCAGTGCACATGTGAGAGGCCTCTCTCAAGCATTGCTTCCATTCCCCATCATCATCAAGGAGACCTCTGAGCTGACATGCTTCCTTGAAAGTAGCACAGACATGGTCGTCAACAGTGCGAAGGTTTTCATAGGAGGTAGCCCCTTCAAAAAACAATAGTCAGCAGATGGCAGACATGAGAGGGATCAAATGATACACACCTGGAATGACAGTCAGAAGCAATCTCAGATAGAAGTGCTCTCCAGAGTTGGGTCCAGCAGCATACATCCTTCCAATTGCTTTTCCGCGTTGGTGTTCCTTCCATGCCTTCTTGTCAACCCAGACAAAGCGGGAGGGAAAGTCTTGGTAGAGATAGTCATGGGCTCCAGCTGCCACCAGGTCTTCATCAGAATTGGCTATGAACCATCCAGTAAGGCAAGTCTCCTTGGCTGCAGCACGGTCCAGAACATCTTGGGCATCATCCTCAGGATCATAGATGACCATCTGCTCATCAGGGAGGTGGACTGGCAAGCGATAGACAGTGGGCCATTCCTCATGCATCTGAAATTCAAAGATGCGCCACATAGCCTCGACAGAGCTGATGTATCTGGAGTCAAGGTATGATTTGACCTCATCCACAGCTCCTCCCATCTCCAAGGTGGCACGGTCGTGTCCTTTGTAGATGTACTTGTGGATGTACTTGACAGACTTGATGGATGCACAGACCTCCATGTTGATATGGCAGTCAAACTCTGCCAACAGCCTTGGAGGATAAGGAACAACATCTTTGTTGGTGAAGACATTGCCATTAGGCTTCTGGATGGTGTGGCCATTGTCAGGTCGTGCATACTCTGGATAGCCATCGTCCTTCATGAGTGTTTGAGGACAGAAGGTCTTTGGATAATGCTTCTTGCAACGACCATTCTCCAAGCAACGTTCTGGAGTACAGGGACCATGGAGCATGAATTTGCTGACAGCTTCATAGAGTTGTGGATGAAGGTTCTGGTCAGGAATCTGAGCAGAGATGAGGGAGTCGACCTGCTCTGCAGTGCATATCTTGTACTCTGGCTCGAGGAAGATGAGGAGATGCATGTGAGGGAGACCACGCTTCTGATATTCGATGGTGTACACCAATCCAGCGACCTTTCCATAGAAGCCATCGCGAACCTTCTTCAAGAGGGCCCGCTGCTTGAGATAAAACACGCGAGCCACCAAGTCTGGACGATCAACAGCAGTCTGACCTTTATGACTGATCAGCAATGAAATCATCAATAAGGCAAAAAATGCGAACTGACCTGGAAGAAGATTGTCAGCAATCTCAGGCCAACTCCCATTTGCAGTCATGGTGAGGAATAGGTCTGGTTTTTTGCATGCACGACATATAGCCAAGGAGTCCTGAAGGAGTTGATACATATAGCGAGGACCTCCACTATGAGAGGAAGGAAGGATGAAGGAACGCCCTGTCTCAGCCAGATCATCAATGCCTTCATTAAGGACATTATCTGTCAAGCCTCTATAGCAGTCTGCCCTGAGCCTCTTCTGGTTGTTTCTGATCCAGTTCAAATTCCGTTGCTCGATAGTAGCCCAAGCATCAACCACATACTGCTGGAAGAGTCGTCCTGCACGAAAGATGTTGTCAGGCTCGATTGCAGGTGGACGGATGTGAAGGCGATAGCCATAATACAGCAGCTGGGTGACTTTTTCTGCACGACCACGACCACCCTCAGGGGGACGGAGAGGAATGTCAAGATGCCATCCCTCCTCACCAGAAGGAAAGAGGAGGACATAGTGAAGGGTGGAATAGGCATGACTGAGCTGGCTAATACAGGCGAAGCTCACCACCTTGGAGTCGCAATACAATGTCGCGTTTGTCAGAAACATCCTCAGATCCATCTCCAGGAATGATGGCAGCAATCTCATTGGAAGTAGGAAGATTGTATCTTCGACCATCAGAGCCTGGCTTGAAGTGAATGCGTACTTGAACATCTCTGTGCTGCTCTGGAGGCTTTCTCTATCATGACTTGATAGGCTGCCTTGTAAAGTTGAGCATAGGGATGGTGTCTGTAGAGCATATCATGGAGTTGTCTGAGAATCTGAGGATTGAGATTGCGATTTCTGTCAACACGAACATCGGTGGCATGCTCTGCATCAAAGACAGTAAAGCTGAGCATAGGCAGGCTGTTGAGCTTCTCCAGGCATAAGACTTCCCATGAGGTGATGGAGAGATCCATGGATGCGAAAGGAGCTTGGGCCAGAGCCTCGAAGAGCAAGGTCATCAACTTTAACACCAACAGAGGTGAATGCCACAGTACTGTTGTACTGACGAATGTTGGTGATAAATTCGCGCTGTTGATACAACTGCTGGAGCTCAGGAGGCCATGGTAGGAGAGGTGGGAGATCAACTTGGCCCTGCAAGCAACACATGCCAAATTTTGGATTACGTGCAGAGGAGTTAGTGAGTCTTTCAGTTGCAAAGTGGCGGGCATGACAGTCGGGACACTCTACAGTGAGAGGACCAAGAGTGTGATGATTAACAGGCTCTGCATATGGTCGACCTCCAGGAGGAACAGGAATGTTCTGTGGTAGTGGTGGTGGTGGTGGTGCTTGATCAGCATGTTGCTCATCCTCTGGATTATTCTGCTGACGATGTTCATGCTCCTGAGCTCTCCTCCTCTCCTCATCCTGGTCATGCTGCTCCTGGGATCCTGGATTGTGATAGTCCTGCCAAGCATCGTCCATATGCGCATCTTCCATACGCTCATCATATGCAAGCCTTCGTTGCTCTGCCTGAAGATGACGCTGCTGCTCCTGCTGAGCTATCTGATCATGATGTACTTCCTCCATCTGTGCATGCAAGAGAGCTTCTTGTTGGGCTTGCAAATCAAGTGCTTGCCTATGCATCTCCTCAGCCTCACGGTGCTGCAACTCTCGATGAAGCCGCTGTTGATGCTGAAGCTCTAGCTGATGTCGTAGCTCCTGCTGACGCTGAAACTCCTGCTGGTGACGATGTTCTAACTCATCACGAATCTCCTGCTGACGCTGATTTTCCAACTGACAATGCTGCTCCTGCTGATGCTGCAGCTCCTCCTCCTCCTGGAGCTGCTGCTGACGTCGAAGTTCCAACTGGTGATGAAGCTCTTGTTGACGCTGTAACTCCTGCTGAAGTTGTTGCTGACGGCGAGCCTCCTGTGCTTGTCGCTCCATCATTTCCTCCCTAAGTTGGCGAAGACGTGGATCTTCCATATCTTCAACCTGATTTTGCAAGTTTTGCAAATGATGATGAAACTGAACATTGAACTGAGCATAATCAGGTTCAGGTTGAGGAGCAGGAGGTTGAGGTTGAGGTGGAGGAGGATTAGGAGGATTAAATGGAGCAGGAGGTTGATAAAGATTGGGAGGATTGGGGGCAGGGGGCAGATCAGGAGGTTGTGGATTTGGAGCAGGATCTCGTCTGTTGCGTCTTTGCCTTCGACGTTCCTCATGAGCACGATGGAAATTGTCCATTAGATTGAAATTATGGTCAACACGTACTCCCTGAGCACCAGGCTGAGGAATGGGATGGGCATTTTGCATATTTTGAGGGCGAGCTGCACCCTCATAATATACAGCACCATACATTGGCATTTGAGCAGCAGGATAGACAGGAGCAGGAGCTGGGGCAGGGACAGGAGCAGGAGGGAGATGATAGCCACCAAATCCTGGAGGATAGACAGGGACAGGAGGAGGAAGAGGGGGACCAGGAGCAGGAGCTGGGGCAGGGACAGGAGCAGGAGGGAGATGATAACCACCAAAATCCTGGAGGATAGACAGGGACAGGAGGAGGAAGAGGGGGACCAGGAGGAAAATAGCCAAAGCCTGGAGCAGGTGGGGGTGGTGGTGGGTGATGAGCACGCCATTGACGATGCGCCTCATGACGCTCAATTGCATTGCGTGGAATTCCTGGAAATCTCTGCACAGGGATCTGAGCATGATTTAAATTTCCTAGCATATGAGGAATATTCTGAATAGGATATGTTAGCAATGGTCGACGTTTTGAATGAAAATAGACATACAATATGGGGAGCATCTGGTGCTACAGGGGCAGGATCATTTTGCGGTACACGTCGTGCAGGAGGCGAGCCAAGATTACGTTGATTTCTCTCGGCTTGACGCGCAGCAGACTGGGCTCGTTGAGGGGAAGTGGGTGGAGTTGAAGGAAGCCTAAGAAGAAATTAATTAATTAGCAGGACTCCATAAAAAATAAATGATATACGAACATGGCAGTATGTGGCAACAAAATTCGAAAAATGGGGCAAAATCTAGCAATGGATAGGATAGAAACACCACTGCAGCAAAATTAGTCGAGGAAGACATGAGAGATGCATTACGCACATAGGTCGGAATCCAAAAAAGTGGGTGTGTGTGGGTGGTTGAAGAAGTCTGAGCCTCCCGAGGTCAGGATCGCGTCAGGAAATCAACGTATGACAGTGCTGAAGACAACAAAAATGCTGTCCGAGATATTATCCCAGGGGGATAGGAAGGCAACTGTGAGCAACTGCCAGATAGAACACCCAGCAGTCAGACTCAACGCAAAAAAGCGTCCCGCCAACCAAATCTCTGCACTGTAGTGCTATCAGAGGTCCCAGCAAAAGCTGATAGCAACCAGCAAACACCCGTAAAAACAGGCAGCCAGGGAGGTAGGACTTGACACGGAGATGTCACAGGACAGTCTTTGACAACTGCAGAAGACGCCTGCAAGACTCCTCGCACGTTCGTCTTGTATACCCAATTTCCCCCGTTCCTCCGTGGGATTCGGGCTCAGAAACAAACAACAAACACACCACACGAACCTGCTCTCCAAAAGGGTCCAGGGGGGGTCCAGGAGGGTCCAGGGGTCCAAGGGAGGTCCAAAACGGTCCAAAACGGTCCAAAACACGGTCCAAGAACAGCAGAAAAGCGAAAATCACTATTTTTTTTTGAATTTTTCAAGTAATTTTTGTATTTAAATAAGTAAAGCTTACCCCAGGAGGGGAATTTCACTACAAATTTACAAATAATCACTGGGGAGAGGATACTTCAACAATTTCAACAATAGTATGTGAGGAAACAGATGGTGGGGGGAAAGAGGTGTTTAGATTGCGAGGGTTTCGAAACTCGTAGGGAAATGGAACTCCGAAAATGAAAAGCATGCGAGATTCCCAATTTTGGACAGCGAGCTCGTATAGTAGGGGACAATGGTTTTCGGAAATTCAAACTCCGGTTGACAGAACCACGTGGGATGCTTTTTTCAGCCACCTTAGCGAAATAACCGTATCTAACCTTCGCCAGCTGACGCTGGCGAGGCCTACCGACACCATGTGCGCTACGCGGAAATGCCCAAATCGTCCCACCCCTTCCCCCATACCGTTCTCCCTTACTTTATAGATACCGTTCTCCCTTACTTTATAGATCGGTTACGGTCTATTCGTGATGAGCCTCCATTTCGTGAGTCACACTTTTGGGCATGGAAACGTGATGGCTTGTCACATGGTGTAACGGTATGTCACGAAATTCACCGCGAAAAAGCGTGACTCACGAAATGACGGTCCATCACGAATAGATCGTAAGGGATAGTATGATCACGGCGCTCGGCCACGCCAGTCCCCGACTCCTGTTTGAATCAAACTGTCCTACATGTCAGACTAAAGATGCTGTGATCTGGCATTTTACTTCTGGTGTGTATGATTCGGATGTATTGAGTGTATTTACAGTCATCACCGGTGCACAGGGAGCATATCGTCTCGGCTTCGTTCCTCGGCCAGCCGAGATGTTCCCCGTGACAATTTAAATGTTCAAGGTACTGTAATTGATAGTAAATCGTATCATAAAGACTTTCTCACTTTTCATCTGACGAAGCAGCTCTACTACTACATCTATAGTTCAAGTGCTTAGATGTGTCCCATGCCACTCGCTTTTCTCACGACTTAAAAAGTAGCTGTTTACAGTACTTTGAGAGGTCTTGACGTGTCGAAGACATGAATATGTCGCCGGTCATGTCGCAAAATAGCCTTCACTCGTGCATATTTTCAAGTGTAGGGCGGTGTCAAGGCTGCTACTCGTGCATGACAGACAGTGAGTTCTTTTCAGTCACGCGACTTCTCGCGTGTCATATTGTCTGACAGCAGTGGGATGGGGTTGATGTCTCGGGCGGTGCCTCACAGTTTCCGGAATGCCCTGTTTTCTTTGAGACTTGTAGCCGATCGTTTCGGCTGCATTAATCAGTGTCGCACTCCGTACAAATATAATGCCCATGAATGAATCTATGGGCGGCTCGATATGCTGTGAGTTGCTTCTCAGGCTGTCCTTTGACCGGCTCCCAGACATTCCAATCAGTGCCACATCGCAAGGCGATGTGGGTGCCACGTGCATGCTGCGGTTCCTTCTGTTATAATTCATCAGGATTGTACAGGCACTGCAATGTTTCGCGATCTCCAACACACACCCCACTCTCAAGCGTAGTTTATATCCATCCCTCAGCGAAATGTCAGGCTTCGGACCTGACCCTTACAATCGTTGCTCTTCACCATTGAGAGAGGAGCTAAGCCACCCAGAACAACCACAGGACCCGGGAGATACTCGACTCAGTGGAATTCAACGCGTTATCATCATTGGTATATGTTATTCATCTCCATTCAGCACGTATTGACGAGTTTCCCAAAGCCATTCGTGTGACTGATCTCACTCTCGGTCTTCGACAAATCCCCGCTGGCTTCCATGTGACAGTCCAAGCTGATGGTGCTGAATGGCAGACAACCAACAAACCCATACATGTGGTGGAGGACGTCGTCGTTTGGGATGAGCACGTACTGTTGTAAGTCGTTTTTCATCCCGTCTTCCTGTAGGCATTAAGAAATGTTCTAGGCCATCCGAGCCATCTTCTAAAGTTCGGGTCAATGTCTATGCCTCATTTGAATTGGTTCCCATGCTCAGTCATGGAGAGCTCCTCCGCACATTCGATATCTCAGTTGGAGAATTACTTGATCGCAGTGAAAAGTCACAACGTCAGTAACTTCTGGTTCGAATGGCTCGTTACCGTTGTTGACTAGATAATACAGCCATCCTATTTCAGCCAAAGGCAGGGGAAGTCGTATCCCCGTGTACTTCACTGTTCATGACGGTGGAGCAGCGACGTTCGGATGAATATGAAGCTGCAATTCTTCGCCCCCTTGATACCGTGAGAGATTAATGGATTCTGATGTTCTGATGCTGAGACTCTGCAATGTGCAGCTCACGTCCAGCGATGTGCGTGCGCGGATACTAGTAAAGACGGATGCCGGACATCGTCTTCTCGCACGATACCACAGGACGCAGAACAATAGGGATCTCGATCAATCCATAAAACACTTCGAACGCGCCTCTGATCTCTGCCCCGTTGATCATCCCTGCCGGCCTGCGACATCGTCCAATCTAGCGACCACGAAGTTCATTAGTTTCCAGGTTAATGGAACCTACCTCGACCTCGACATCCCCATCTCTCTCTTTGATGAAGCCCTTGATATGCGTCCCACTGGTCATCCAGACCGACCTCTCACCCAACTCCATCTTGCCATCGCTCTGCTGTCTCGTTTCGCGAAACGGGGATTTCAAGCGGATGCTGACGCCGCTAAAGAGTTACTGAATGAAGTTCGCAATGTCTGCCTCGCCAACAGCCACCTATACAAAGCAGCTCTTCTTGCAATCGAAACCTCTGCTTCTGGCAGGAGCACCGATGCAAATACACTTCAGGCAGAGGGGCCCATTGCATCTATGCTTCCCTACTCGACGGATGAACTTGTTCGTCAAGCACAGTTGTGTTTGGGGAGAGATGATTCCCATGCCCTAGATGATGTGATATCCCATCATTATGATGCGCTAGGATACTATAGCACGGCGCATGCTGAACGAGGGCAATTGCTGTCTAGCCTGGGTACATTCGCTACACACTCGCTTCATGCGTCGAGGCAATAGTCATGACCTCAACGAGGCCATTGCGTCTCACAAGGAAGCGCTGGGTTTTAACTCAGTCGGTCACCAATATCGGTCCATGTCATTGAATGGCCTTGCAGTAGCACTCTCCACTCGCTTCAACCACCAACGCAATGACGAAGACTTAGATGAGGCTATCGTGCTTAATAGCGAAGCGCTGGCCCTGCACCCAGTTGGTCACCCAAACCGGTCCACGTCATTGAATAACTCTGCTACCGCGCTCTCCACCCGCTTCCAGCATCGAGGCGATGACCAAGACTTGGATGAGGCTATCATCTTTCACAGAGAAGCGCTAGCCTTGCGCCCGGTCGGTCACCCAGATCGGTCCATGTCATTGAATAACCTTGCAAATGAATTCATCGCCCGCTTCAAGCACCGAAGGCAATGCCCAAGACTTGGATGAGGCTATCCCACTTCACAGGGAGGCGCTGGCTTTGTTCTCGGTCGGTCACCCAGACCGGTCCACGTCATTGAATAACTTTGCTACTGTGCTCTCTACACGCTTCAAGCACCGAGGCGATGACCAAGACTTAGATGAGGCTATCGTGCTTCACAACGAAGCACTGGACTTGTGCCCGGTCGGTCACCCAGATCGGTCCTGGATATTGAGTAACTTTTCTAGTGTGCTTTCCACTCGCTTCGAGCACCGAGGTAATTATCAAGACCTGGATGACGCTATCGTGCATTGCAGGGAAGCGGTGGCCTTGTGCCCAATCGGTCACCGGGATCGGGTCACGTCGTTGATCAACCTTGCAAATCGACTTTACAACCGCTTCGAGCACCAAGGCAATGAGCGAGACTTGGATGAAGCTATCTCGCTTCACAGGAAAACGTTGACTTTGTCCCCGGTCGGTCACCAAGATCGGACCGTGTCATTGGATAACCTTGCAATTCAACTTCGCATGCGCTCCAAGCATCGAGGCGATGACCAAGACCTCAACGAGGCCATTGCGCTTCACAGGGAAGCGCTAGCATTGTTCTCGGTCGGTCACACAGATCGGTACAAGACATTGGGTAACCTTGCGGGTGGACTCTATGACCGCTTCCTGTGCCAATGCAATAACCAAGACTTGGATGAGGCTATCGCGCTTCTCAGGGAAGCGATGACCTTGCGCCCGGTCGGTCACCCCGATCGGTCCTTGTTGTTGGATGAACTTGCAAATCGACTTAACTCCCGCTCCAGTGGCCAAGACTGGGATGAGGCTATGCTACTTCACAGGGAAATAATGTCCTTCCCCACCGTCCGTCACGCAGATCGGTCCATGGCATTAAATAACCACGGGATTCGACTCTACACCCATTTCGAGCATCAAAACAACGCCAAAGACTTGAACGAGTCACTAGAGAGTCTCCACCGCGCATTGACTCTGTTGACACAACACGATCCTCGTCAATTAACGGTCCATCGGTCGCTAGCTAGCGCCTATCTGATTATCCATTCATCAGGACTTGACGGCACTGACAAAGATGCCGACAGTCTGAATGCCGCTATGCAGTCATCTCAAGGCAGCAGCAAATGTTGTCTCTGGAGGTTTGCTACTTCGCCTGCAAGCAAGTCTCTACTGGGTTCTCCGTGCTGTTGAATATGCACATGACACTGAACTGGAGGCCTATGAAACTTCCATACAACTTCTGGATGTTTTCATGTCTGCGACAGCCTCGGTGTCATCTCGCCATCATAACATGATGGAATTCCCAAGCACACTTGCAGTTGATGCTGCATCATGTGCTCTTCGTCGTGGTGATGTGTGCCACGCTGTAGAGTTGCTGGAACAAGGCAGAACTCTTATCTGGACCCAGATGGCGCGACTCCGTACGCCTCTTGACAGCCTCCAGGAACGCGGACCTCACGCACAAGCTCTGATGAAGAAGTTCCGGGGCCTCAGCTTGCTACTTGATCGACCTCCTGCGTATCATTCAGAAGGGACGTCAGGAGTCGGCACAGAAGCAGCAGCTACCCGGTACAGACATCTAATGGGGAGCTGGAATGCAACTGTGGAAAATATCAGGAAGATCGATGACTTCGGTCGCTTCCTACTTCCCCCCTTGTTCTCCGAGCTCCAAGATGCTGCTCGTAACGGCCCTATCATTGTTCTCGTTGCAAGCAAGTCGTCTTGCGATGCAATCATCATCCCACACCAAGAACCTCCGGTCAGTGTAGGACTCGCTATTAATGCAGAAAAACTCGTGCGATTGGTGCATACACTCCAACGGGCGGTGGAAAGCGAGGCGCAGAAACAAGCAAAGCTGGTAAAAGTTTTGAGGGAGCTGTGGGTCAAGGTAGTGCATCCTGTGGTTGAAAATCTAGCCAGAGTTGCGAAGCCAGGGTCGCGAATATGGTGGTGCCCAACCTCATTCTTCAACTTCTTGCCTTTGCACGCCGCTGGCGAATACAGGCCCGGTGGAAAGTTCCTTTCGCAGCTATATGTTTCTTCCTACACCCCATCACTTACCGCGCTGATCAAGGCTCGCAGAAGTCACGACAGGTCCCTGTCTGTATCCTTTGCTGCCATTGGTCAGAATCACCCACCAGAACATTCATTTGCTTTGAAATTTGTCGAGCCTGAGCTAGACTTGGTGCAGAGTCTCCTACCCCCTTCCCCGACCGTTTCCTTCACCAAAGTCACGAGCGTCGAATCAACGAAATCGACTGCCTTGCGCACATTACGAGCTAACCATTGGATCCATTTTGCCTGCCATGCGACGCAAAACCTTGCAGAGCCTTTCAAGTCGGCATTTCTCATGCGCGACCAACCGCTTCAACTTCTAGATATCAGTCATATGGATCTCTCTCGGCACGAATTTGCATTTCTCTCTGCTTGCGAGACCGCAGTCGGCGACTTCGGAACTCCTGACGAAGCCATTCACTTGGCGGCTGGCCTACAATTTTCTGGGGTGAAGAGTGTCATTGGGACATTTTGGAATGTCAATGACATCACCGTGCAACGCTTGGTCATGGAATTCTACAAGAATTTCTGCGGGGATGGCAAGATGAATTCAAAAAGAGCTGCCCGAGCGCTGCACAGAGCAGTCCAGTCATTGGCTGGTGATAAGGCTGTGCCCTTGGACCAGCGCATCGTGTTCATGCATATCGGCTTATGATCAATATCGTGCGTCCTTGTTAATCAAAGCTTTCTTGAGACAATCTGACGGCTGCACGTGTAGCATCCAGCTTTGGCTCCGTGCATTTGGTGACCAAGGGACTACATGCTGATATTTCTGACTGCAGGACTGTATACCTCACCGATATGTACACTTAATGTCGACTTATATTTGTACCTCCCAGTCCATTGCCTCAGAGCCCAAGGTAGTCAGACCGCTTTTAAGGCGTGGGTAAGACTGAGGTTCAGAGTTGTATCATTAGTTCGAAATACAGATCTGGTACCACACATCATAGCGACAATACATGATTGCGAAGGACGTGATGGCCGTGTCTCTGAATTGTGCGACTTATGATCGACCAGTATCGAAAGCTGCCAGGCAGGATCACTTCGTGGATGCGCAAGATGACCACGTGCCCGTCTAGTAAATGCTTAGCATTATCAGTGACACGCTACACTCGATGCTCAAATTCTCAGTTCACCACATATATACTAATGCGACTTCAAAAAGTATGTACTGTTGGAGTCCGAACGATCCGAACGATTAGAGACGAAGAAGACCGACCGATCCGAGATGGTTGAGGAGGGAGCACCTGTTCATGGCAGGGTGATACTTAACTGTGTCTAACTATACACAGTACATTTTGTAAGTTTGTCTCGGAGCCACCAACATGACATGCATGAAGCTTCACGAAGCTTAACAGGCACGATGCCTCACTGGTTCTAAAGATCGGGATCTCTCTTGTGATCTCGATGCTACTGGAAATGTTTTTCTCAGGCTTCCAAGAATAGCACTACCACCGGAAAAATCACCAAATTGGGATATTCCAATAATCTCACTATTCCCACATACCTCCCTGGCTCTACTGCTGCACCAGAGCTTTCCCCTTGCTCACTCATGTATATAAGTAGTAGAATGGCATGTACATACATAAAATGATACAATAGACCGCTTTTTTTCATTGTCTGAGAGCTTGTACAGCAGTCTACAGGTGCTGACTACAATATGTGCATCCCAGGACTAAAACATATTCGATATTTTGCCCCTTTAGCAGGGAAGCAATTCTGACTGTATATATCATATATTATAGTGTTAATGAATATATTACACCGCTTATTTGAGCCTCTGAAGTGTCCTACATCAGTAGATATGTTAAATTCATGAATACCTCAGGCTCTCAAAAAACATAAACCAGTTCGCATTTTTTAGTGTTTAGGTATATAGACTGGTGAATATTATTTCTAACATCTCTTCACTAGTATATACAATATATCAAGAGTATATGTCAGTAGGATCAGTCCCTGGGGTCATATGTATTGTCATCTTCCTGGTGGTTCACCCCCTGAGAAACTTTTTCCTGCAGCTCCGGCCCTCTAGGATGGTATGTAGTCTGTTACTATGAACATATGGAATATATTTATCACATAGGTATAACAGAACAATACCAGGATCCTTGTCTACAATCCAAAGTCACTTCCTGCCTACAATGTAACATATTTTTTTGCATTTTTGAGGTTTGTCACTCTATTCTCACTACATAGACTATACCAGCTGTTCATATATCCATTATAGTACATATATAAAGCCCTCCCAAGGCCATTATCAAGTAGAAATATGTCAGAGTAATGATATCAAGCACATATCTCCTATTCTCACTGATAAGAATTCCCAGACATGAATATAGTAAAATATTATAATCAGACTATTATAGAGTACACTATATATACCAAGTAATACAGTTCTCGACTACCAGAAGGATCTATGAATAATTGACAGCAGGGGAATCCTATAGATAAGAAAAAGGTCGTGGGAAAGTCAAAAAGTCCAAACATCGCAAAAGTACTATGCACCAACAGTCTATGCATGGGTGGTCTCACCATAATAATGCAACAAATTGAGACCACAACACTTCCACATCACCTTTACCTTCACAACATATATTAGTATAGTATATTTAAGTAGTTTACAATGTATTCTATTCATTTTTAATGAAATCTTCGCCCTAGACAGGGTTGAAATATAACATTTGCATGATTGTGGGGTTTGCCCCTATATCATTAATATCATTACTCTGACATATTTCTACTTGATAATGGCCTTGGGAGGGCTTTATATATGTACTATAATGGATATATGAACAGCTGGTATAGTCTATGTAGTGAGAATAGAGTGACAAACCTCAAAAATGCAAAAAAATATGTTACATTGTAGGCAGGAAGTGACTTTGGATTGTAGACAAGGATCCTGGTATTGTTCTGTTATACCTATGTGATAAATATATTCCATATGTTCATAGTAACAGACTACATACCATCCTAGAGGGCCGGAGCTGCAGGAAAAAGTTTCTCAGGGGGTGAACCACCAGGAAGATGACAATACATATGACCCCAGGGACTGATCCTACTGACATATACTCTTGATATATTGTATATACTAGTGAAGAGATGTTAGAAATAATATTCACCAGTCTATATACCTAAACACTAAAAAATGCGAACTGGTTTATGTTTTTTGAGAGCCTGAGGTATTCATGAATTTAACATATCTACTGATGTAGGACACTTCAGAGGCTCAAATAAGCGGTGTAATATATTCATTAACACTATAATATATGATATATACAGTCAGAATTGCTTCCCTGCTAAAGGGGCAAAATATCGAATATGTTTTAGTCCTGGGATGCACATATTGTAGTCAGCACTGTAGACTGCTGTACAAGCTCTCAGACAATGAAAAAAAGCGGTCTATTGTATCATTTTATGTATGTACATGCCATTCTACTACTTATATACATGAGTGAGCAAGGGGAAAGCTCTGGTGCAGCAGTAGAGCCAGGGAGGTATGTGGGAATAGTGAGATTATTGGAATATCCCAATTTGGTGATTTTTCCGGTGGTAGTGCTATTCTTGGAAGCCTGAGAATCACCAAAGGAATCAGAAGCCATCAAGCTAATCACCAAAGGAGTCAGAAGCCATTAAGCTTAATTGTAGGGGATTGATGGTTTACAAACAAACTTACAAAGCCATACCGTTTCTAATCAGTGAGTACTATGCTTAATTTTAACAGTATAGCCTGGAGGGAGAGTGACAGGTGGTCCGAGCCCAAGCCAAAATGGACATTGTCGAGCGACACGTTGATGTTGGCTCGAGTCCTCCAATATTTCACTTATTCATTTGATATATTTTTTGTTTCTATATAGCTTACTATAAGAACGCCACTGGTAGCACGAGCGCATCTCAGCCTTTTCAAAGAGACTGAGATGTGAGTACATACTCTTCACGTATTGATTAGAACGCAGCTAACATCAGGAAAACCCTCCCATGCAAACTTAGAACTATTTAGGCAAGTTTTTGATAGCTGCGATAATTAGCATTAATTAGCTCTAAGAACTAAAGTTTAGTACAAGTTAATAATAATTAATGCAATGTTACAAAACTGTGTCTGTCTATGTATGGATTTACAAAGAATGACCGACACTTGTCAAGGACATTAACAGAACTCCATTCGCAAGGAGCAACAGGACCAAAACTCGGAATTAAATGTGTGCTACAACGAATATTGCTGATTGGAATAATACTAGCCATTTGTTCTCCATTTTTCATGATGCACGTGACTTTGTGCAAGCCGTGGTCTTTGTCAGGCGCACGGAAAGCAGAGAACCACTCCACGTAGGCAAGGTATTTCGGAGGCTGGAATGTTGATGGAAAGAGCATGGGGATAGCTTTGGGGGGGATCAAGAAGATAACACGAACTTGTGCGATTCGAAATCCTGTGTGAACGCTGAGTGTAAGTGTATCACCAGTTGATATAGTGACTGGGGCTCACCTTTAGTGCCGAGTGGCCCACCTGTACCGTCATTGATGAATGCAGTGTCGAATCGAGCTGCGACACTGTCGGATGCAAATGATCCTGCCAGTGAACGTCCAGGATGTGCATGTACACTATCGACAGTAACTGGGGGGTTGCTGTGGCCGCGAACGTCAACTGAGACCCATTTAATCTTGTGAAACACTGGCAGTGTTCGAAATGGGATGTACACGTCCGCAGCTCAATCTTCAAGTTGCCGAGATGTAATGGTAGTGTTTGCAGGAAGTGTGGCTTTTATGATGTAGCGTGCGAGAGATTCGTGAAAGTATGTAGCGCCATACTCATTTGCGACTTTGTCCAATGTGACTGCCTTGATAGTAGGATGCTTCGTCATTGTCTGAGTACGACAAAATGACATCTCAGGAGGATGGGGGTGATGATGCGGATGACGGGTAGCGCCTGCGATGAGTCTCCACTGAATGTGTGTCTCATGGCAAAAAATTTTCTCCCTCCGCTCAAGCCAGGTCGTCATTTGTGCAAACTCGTTCTTGTGGTTAGTGGAGCGGTATGCATCTTTTGCAAGGTCAATGTGGAGGCATTCAGTGTATTCCATATTGTAATTATCTGTTGTACCATACATTCAAATCTTGTGAGCATAGTGAAGGGCGAAATGGAGTTTTGGCAGGTTGAAGGAGTTCTGAATGCTGAGGTCAACAAAAATTTCCTTGTTGTCGTGGAATAGATCAAGGGCCTCGTCCAGCAAAGTCAGTGTCTCAGAACTGTGACATGGATATTGAGCCAGATATAAAAAGTCTAGCAGACCACGAACAGCACGGAGGAGCCGGGTGGAAGACATGTTGTCAGGTAGCCTGATGTCAATGATGATCCTGAGTAAGAAACAGCAAATTTGGTTATGCTCCATGCCACTCAAGCGTGAAAGAGTTGTAATACCCTTCGTAAAAAGTCGAATGTGGTGATTTGGGGGAAGGCGTCGACATCGTGCATCAATCTCCGCACCACTGCATGTGTCAGCGAGCCAACTGAGGAGATGTTTAACAAGTCCCTGGTAGAGTTGATGGAGAATATCGGGAGTTATGGATTCGAATATGTTAACGAACGGCAGTTCCTGCCAGAATGGTTGAACAATAGGCTTGATGCCAGCATCTGTACATGCATGGACGAAGGCTAATCCATCTTCATCAAGAGCACGGAGGGCATCGAGTACTGTGTCAAGATTTCGTGGTTGAAAATTTGCAGCACCCGCTGCAAGACCAAGCTCATCCAAGGGTACATCGCAGCTCGAACATTGAGTAGTCTTGACCCCTGTGGCTAAAACTTGCTCCGGATAGTCTCCTACAAAGCACGCAAACAACGGATGACATCTATGCATAGCCCCATTACTACTTCGCATATTAATCCCATCAATACCCGCAGCTTCGAGTGGAGCAAGTACACATCACACGCAAGCATGATAGAGATTGGCGAGCATGCGGCGGCGAGAAGCTTTGTTAGTGACATGTTCAAGGCGGGTAGTTGGGAGGTATGCAAGAAGGACATGCGCCTGGCGTGATGGTTTCCGACAGGATCTCTTTTGGAATGTTTCCAATAGTCATATATACAGGGTATGCGGTCTTGTTACGAAACAAGGTAACTTGAGTCTTGTCCGACGAAATGATGACTGGGAATTATTGTCACACCAGGACGCTCGTGGTCTAGTTGTTTCTACAAATACAGTATTAATACTATTGCATGACAACCTTGCAAAGACACGAAACACCAACCTGACAATTCCACCACCATTTACCTGTATGCATCTCATGATATAGACAAACCGTCTCATCTTCATCGGCATAGTGGCGCTCAGGTGCAAAGACAAGAAAATCGGCAAAATTCGGGTCACTGAAGAGAGCCTTGATGCACTCGATGATATCACGATAATATACATCAAATGCTTCACTGGCAATGACAATTTGCTCTCGTTTGAATTTCGGACAGGCCCTGGAAGTTCATTATCAATGATCTTGTTCAGCTCGCATGAGTTCTTGAAGGAGAGACCAATTTTGTCACTAAGCTGGAGGTACTGCAATTAGACCGATCCTGGTGGTTGAGAGGCAGTACAACTTACACCCTCAATAGAGACAAGCTCTGAGAATGCAGTTGAGCTGGGACCCCGTAGCTTTGCCCATCGAGCCATCTCCCAATTGAGCTTCGAAGCAAATGGGGCATAGAGATTATCTGCCTCTGAGCTATTGAGTTGTGCGTGATAAGTTGCGTTGCTCGACTGTTTGGTTGAATTGATGGGCTGTCCAGCTCGTTGATCGGGGTAATGAACAACAGTAGGTACTTGTTCATGATCATAAAGTTGCTGTTGTACTCTGTGCCGGGCATCTGGCCCTTCTGTGTCTAAGGTAGGTGGGTCTAGGATGTCATTGCATTCGTCACATTCGTCATCTTCATCATGGTCATGGGATGCAGAGCCAGGCAATCGCACTACAGGAGGTTCCCATTTGTCGTGGCCATAACAACCACCTTCGTGATCTGATTCCTCTTCATCTGCAGGTACATCTCCCATGTCCCTCTCATCATCGAACTCCGCTGGCCACTCAAGTTCGTCCTCAGTGTACATCCCAAAAAAATCACCTTCAAAGTGTGCTGGCTGATTTGCGTCTGGGGCAGGTGGACTTGCATGAAGTCGCCGTGAAGCAAGGTAGATAGCCGAACATGCAGGATTGGTGGCTTTTGCAAGGTGCTGGTTATACCCGGTTATTGACATGAGCTTTTTATTGCAGCCGGTGCAGGTTGTTTCAGGCATGTTCTAGGTAGATTGAATGAGTTGGATTGAATACGAAATGTCTAAAATTCACTTACATCTTGACGGTTGACAGTACAAGTCAGAAGGATAGGTGACGTGTATGAGGCGAGGTCGGAGATGCTATTCTATTGGCATTCACCGATCCGCGCAAAACCAAACCCCCCCCCCCCCAACTGGCGAAACTAGTATTAAGCCTTCAACTCTCAGCCGCGACGTGTGGTTTAACATGTAACTGTGCATCACGAACCCACAAAGTAATAGCTCCTGTTTGTGTAGTGCAAGGTATTACTTTGTGTGCCCGTGCACATCTTTAAGTCGAACGTAGTCATAGTAAGCCGCTGAGGCCCAGTGCTCTTATGGCTTCCAAATCATGATGGAGAATATTCACTCAGAGACCTACTCACTCCTCATCGACACTTACATCAAGGACCCCCAGTAATGCTCGATCTTCCTCACTTTGTCTCACATGTCCTCACATTCTTTGCCACATCTGATGGGATTGTTAATGAAAACCTCATTGAACATTTCTCCAATGAGGTCCAGGCCGCTGAGGCCCTGTGCTCTTACAGCTTCCAAATCATGATGGAGAATATTCACTCAGAGACCTACTCACTCCTCATCGACACTTACATCAAGGACCCCCAGCAACACGAATACCTGTTTGACGCCATGGAGACTATTCCATGTGTCAAGTGCAAAGCTGACTGGGCAATCCAGTGGATCTCTGATCAATGTGCCACCTTCGCTGAGCACTTGGTTGCCTTTGCTGCCGTCAAAGGCATCTTCTTCTCCGGTTCCTTCGTGTCCATCTTCTGGCTCAAGAAGCACTCGGAGACCTACTCACTCCTCATCGACACTTACATCAAGGACCCCCCAATGCACCCTGACACTGTCAAGTGTATTATTACTCAGGCTGTTACCATCGAGCAGGAGTTCCTGATGGGTCCATCATTTCAATCACCTTACCCTTCTTACTGGACTGTCTTTCCAGATGCTCTCCCTGTTGGCCTCGTTGGTATGAACACCGAGCTCATGTGCCAGTACATCGAGTTCATTGCAGATCGTTTTCTGGGCCATGATGAGGGTATGCACACTGACTTTGCATGCGTGCTCTTTAGCCACCTCAAACATCGTCCACACCCTGACACTGTCAAGTGTATCATTACTCAGGCTGTTACCATCTGAGCGAACTGCCCACGCAAATAGGAGACTGCCAAGCGCACGACGATAGTGAGTGCTCAAGCAAATCGGACAGCGTGTGGAGCTCATGTGGAGCACAGACAGGAGAGTCATGTGAATTAGTTCCGCGGGATCAAATGTTTCGTCCTTACATATATTAGATAGATATTAGATGTATATCCATGGGTTTACCTGTGCTAATGCCTAGATGACAAGCCTGGTCGATAAGTTCACACAGAAGCATCTCCACGAGGCTCTTTGCAAGCAAAGCTGTCCCAGCAAACAAGATTGTATTTCTATTCGGGTTCATTCTGGACGCTGTTGAGAGCAGAATTAGTAGTATCAGGTGGGTTGGTTACATGTCGGCTCCGTGCAACGGAGCTTGCAAAAAGATGTTGTCATACCTCGGCGTCAGAAGGTTCATTTCGGTAGATGGTGCAGGTACAGAGTAAGACCATTACCAGCGCTGGTGGGCAAATGAATGGATGCGCACTAAGACTACTCGGTGAGGCTGTGTTAAGTTAAAGTTTGTGACCATAGACTCACTGAATAGCAAACTAAGCCTGACAGGGAAAGGGTCAACCCTGGCGCTATATTATGATACATAAACGCTGCTTTAAATTGTGGGTCTGAGTTTATTCTAACTTACACTTAAAAAATTCACTCACCTTTCCAAGTCCAAAGTCATTTGTTGCAGTCTTGCAGAGCAGAAAGACAACTACACATTCATTTTATCTTTTTTTTCGCCCCTTTTTACCTGAAAATTAGACTGCCAGGAGTTCAATGGAGTCAAGTTCATGCCGTAAGTGTTTTTTCATACCAACAAGGTTGAAAAGACTCACTTGGTGCAAGCACACCGAAAAGCCAAGGACCAAGCCCTAGAAAACCCAGGTAAGTACTATACATCCTACATTACTAGTAGATGTTTCGGGGTACTACTCACACCTCAGTGTGGCAATCCCTCCGAGGCGGCAAACAGTCACACAAGCGTAAACTTTCGGCCACAGGTGAAGTTGGACCTGCCTCAAAACAGGCGAAGTCGGGCAAAAGCAAGTCACAATGACTATTTTGCAGTATCAATTACTTACATGTCTAGGTCATGCTGGAATGAAAGTAGCGGTACCACCTAGTATCAAAAACAAAAGAGGTCACAAAAGCGCCAGTAAGTCTCAACTCCCACAAACATATTACAACCTTGCTCACAGATAAATCAGAACAATGGATATCTTCTCCAGCTTCGGATTCACAGGTGGAAGCTATGCAACCTTTGCGGTCCAAGAGAGGTCAGCATCGCATGTTGCCACGTAACACTTACTAACATGCAGATTGTAGCGCGCAGGCTAGCTGTCGACTCGGAATCAGAACCTGAGTCAGATACTAGCAAGCACAGTGTGGAGTCCAATGCATCTGCAAGTGAGATGGAGCCGGCAGAGAGCATCGCTAAGACTTTATTTGGAGAAGTGAGACTACTACTTTACATTTGACTTGGATTACACCTGATCATATTCACTTAACCTTCATATTAGGTTCCCACAGTTGCTGATTCAGACCGCCAGAAAAGGCCTCATGAGAGACAACTGGCTGCAGAGGCTCAGAGCTCATCAAAGACTCCTCCTCCACCCATTTGGGGCTCACAGTATAGGCCTTCGAATGCAAGGGGGAAAAAGCTTGCAGCGGAGGTAAGTATTTTTTGCTATGTACTCTGAGCTGTGACTAATAGTAATACTTGGCTTGCTCAACAGATCCCCATGTGGGACCCAATCATGACGAGCTCATCATTTGAGTTGCATGTTCCCGCCACACAGACTAACAAGAGCCACAGGTCCAAATCTACAGTACTTGAAGATGAGCTTGAAGACGACCATAGTCTCAAATCTGAGCTGTACAGTGCTGATGAATCTCCGAGTCAGGCTGAGCTCCCCAGCATCCAATCCAAGGAAGTGTCTCTTCAAGTTGACCCCACAGCATCTCTTGTTTACACGAAGACTGGGTCAGTACGACTCACCGGCCAGAACACCAAACTTCATAATGTGATGCAGCATGGTATTCTCGAGGTCAAGGCATACATTGCCTTTGAGCACAGATACCCTGAAATTGCGGCAAGGAATGTATATGCACAGGAAATACTGCTGAAGGCCGCACGGTACCACAATACAGTGCCGATTGAGAAACGGATGCAGATTGATGATGGCTATGTGTCAGCCCTCACAAATCTAGTCAGTGTTGTATCTTTACTGCGAATTGATGTTGATGTCAGCCATAGATCGATGCTTGCGCTAGTCTATTTCGCAGCGAGATCAAGGATGTGGCTAGCAAGAATGTTTTAGGTTACTTCCGGCTCAGTGGTGCTGCCAGCGACACAATCCTTGATCGGCTTCTTGCCAATCATTCATACATTTTTCCGCAAACATTTGATGTTAGTTTTTTTTTGCACGAAGTTGACATTGTGCTGACAACATCACGCTGTTTAAGGTGCAGGGTCTTCCATCGCCGAACCGACAGAAGCCATATCAAACGCAGCCTGTGTTCCTTGTTTTATACGAGGTATTCTTCAAACAATTGAGGTCCGTCGGTGCGCAGTTTGGACAGCGCTTCCTCAATATCGCAAAGAACAAGAGTGGTCGCCCACAGATCCCTATCCCCATGATGGCTATGGTCTGCACCGCTGTAAGTACCGCTATGTTTGTACTCATTCATTCATTAACTTTCTTTGTCACTAACTAGATTCGTGCCATCCTTCTCGCGAAGAAGAACAGGTCGAGTGATGATTTTAAGTTCACCGGTAACCAGTTTTTCGATATCTATACTCACCACGTGTCATTGTTGGAGAGGATTCAGACAACAGCACCCGTCAAGTTCCACAAAATGATGGCTGATATATACGAGGAAGTCAAGTAAGTTTGTGCCTGAGTTGGTGGCATATCACTGATTTAGCATTATTTACAGTCGCTTCCGTCACAGCATTACTGGAGTCTATGATCAAGATGATCAAAGCCTCTCATTTTTGGACTTGGAGGGCATGAAGGACGAGTAGAGTGTTCCGACACGGAAACATCTGATTTTCAAAGCCATCGTCTAGTAACCGTATTCACGTATATCTAACCACCACTTGCTCATTTCGTCGCACCTATTTCATCGATATGTTATTGCATCGATACCCCATTTTAATAATGAATAATTTGTTCCTGTACTCTCTAAGGGTGAAAAGTCTGTCCACTCAGAACAATGTTGGCATTGACACGGACCTGGCGACAGATCTCAATGCAAATTTCACATGGACACCTCCACTGGCAAGCCGAAGCCAGGTTGACAACGAGCTGGAGGGGCCGGAAAGCTTAACGGAGGATGAGGTTGCAGCTGCCTTTGATGAGATTGAGCAATGCATTGCGGAATTCCCATCAGCTATTGATCCCCAGCTGGAAGGGTACGAGATCTTGGCGGGAAAGGTGTATGACATCACCGAGCTGGAACAGGTTGACAAAGGAATTGTCCCCACAGCTTTTGAAGATGATGTTCAGCAGGTGGGATCTGACTCGGAGGATGGTTTGTCTTGGGACATGCAGTCTCTATTGACTATGAAGGGTGTCTCGTCAATGTAATAATCAGTAGTATTATGCAACATTGATGCAACGTGTCTGGGAGTTTTGCCAAGTTTTGCCAGTGCGCCAAGTGCCAGTTGTGCCGGCACTTGGTCACAACTCAGCTCAAAGTAGTTTTGCCCCCTACACGTGCACGAGCCCACACCCATTGTGCCTTCGGCACAGGAAGCAACTTCACAAACTTAATAATTAACAATTGATAATCATAGCAGAATTTTGAAAATTTTGAAATAAATTACATTTTTGAGCAGTATTCAGGATTTTGACAAAAGTAAAGGTACAATCTACTACACAACATAAAAGTACATAATATGTAAATCAATCAGCAATAGAATCAGTCAGTCCTCTAAGTACTTCTGTATACACAACATTGGTCGTCTTTGTGCCTTCTTCATGCTCTGGGAAAATAGCAAACACTCTCTCTGGATGAGTGCAGCGAGACAAAGCCACATAAAGCTGTCCATGACTGAAGACAGGAGTACGCAAATCAAGGCCAACCCACTTGACACTCTGACCTTGAGCCTTGTTGATTGTCATGGAAAATGCAAGACGAACAGGGAATTGAAGCCACTTGAGAGGAATGGGGTTTTCTTCAGAACTCGCCTCCAGAGTCATCCGAGGAATCAGCACGGTGTTCTGATCTTGATGCCGAGCTTCATCATTTCCATCCCTAAGAATGTGACACCTGAGGACGCGCGTGGTCCAAGACAGGAGGATCATGCGAGTTCCATTATAGAGTCCCTGTGAGGGGTCCAAGTTGCACAAGAGCATCAGAGGAACACCTGCTTTGACCTCTAATCTGTGCAAAGGAAAGCCTGATGGGGTGAGGGTATGAAGGAACTCTGCAGGGATGTAGTCATAGTCTTTCTCAGTGACTGAGTCTGTGCTGGTGAAGACTGCCTTTTCTCCAGGGAATAATTGAAGAATTGTGGTATTGATTTCATCCACATCGGTGTTCTTTGCAGAGAGGATGGTGCGATCAAGGAAGTAGGAATCATTCAAGGGAGGATGGTTAGGGAGCAGAATTTCAGAGTACAGGGCATTGATGAGAGACTGCACATTATTGTTGCCACAGCGTGCAATGGGGAGGGTCACTGTGCCATCTCCATCTGTGCCCTTACCAGCTCCGATCTCAAGGAGCACCTGCACAAATCGATCGGAATCAGGATCTTGACCCAGACGCATATTTCTCTTGAGGTGGAAGATATGAACCTTGGACCAGAGACGAGATCTGCAAAAGGTAGCACCCACTATCTGCTCCCTGGATCCATGAGGCACCACCGGCAGTGTCTGTCTGAAGTCTCCTCCAAAGAGCATGGTTATTCCTCCAAAGTCAGCATCGATGTTCAGAAGATCGCGCAATGTGCGATCAAGGCATTCCAGGTTGTGACGGTGTAGCATAGGAATTTCATTGCAGATGATTAGACAGGTGGCCTTGAGAAGCTCATGGACAACATCTCCTTTATTGATGTTACATGAGCTATCCTCATGAATGGGAATGGGGATCTTGAATCGCGAATGAGCTATACGTCCGCCTGGCAGGAGGAGAGAAGCGATTCCAGAGGAAGCCACACATAGGACGATCTTGCCTTCAGCACGGATTTTTGAAGCGATGAGTTTGCAGAGATATGTCTTGCCACATCCACCTGCACTATGGACGAAATATGTATGTCCAGGTCTTTGGTCATTACAATGCATTGCATCATCAACCACTGCATCAAAGACCGCCCTCTGCTCTTCATTGAGAGAAGGAACTCCTCTATCCACTATCGCCTGAAGATCCTCCGGGTCATACTGGAGTTGCTCAGCAATCAGCTGGTTGCCCTCAATGGCCCCCCATCTTGCTGCCATTTGAGGTACTGGCATGTGAGGAATGGCTTCCAAAGACTTTCCATTTTTGCAAAGCACATTATTGATGAAATAGAGACTGTAGTCATGAATGTCGTGTTCAGTAGGGTTGGGCATGTTATATGGATTGCGAGTGAGATGGGGGCGCAGATCATCACAGAGATTGTCCTTGAAGCGGTTCCAAAGCTCTTGAGGGCTTGTAGGGTTGCAGTGGAGGAGGATGATGGCAAAGAGATTATGCAGACCATACCCAGTGCGCATATGAGAGGCATCCTGCAAGCACTGGATCCATTCATTATCATCATCAAGCAGACCCCTTTGCTGACATGCATCCTTGAAAGTCTGGCAGAGAACACCATCGACAGTATGAAGGTGTTCATAGGAGGTAGCCCCTTTGAAAAACAAAACACGGTAAGTTTGATTGATAGAAATTGTTCCAGACATCATACCTTTTGTCACAGTCAAAAGCAATCTCAGATAGAAGCGCTCTCCAGAGCCAGGTGCAGCAGCATACATTCTTCCAATTGCTGCTCCATACTGGCGTGTCTTCCAGGCATTCTTGGTCCACACGAATTTTGAGGGAAAGTCTTGGTAGAGGTGGTCATGGGCTCCAGCTGCCACCAAGTCGGCATTGACATTGGCTTTGAACCATCCAGTGAGGCAAGTCTCCCTGGCTGCTGCATGCTCAAGAACGTTCTGGGCATCTTCTGCAGGGTCATAGACCACCATTTGTTCATTTGGGAGATGAACTGGCAAGCGGTAGACGGAGGGCCATTCATAATGCATGGAAAATTCAAAGATGCACCATGCAGCCTCATTCGAGCTGATATATCTGGAGTCAAGATAGGATTTGACCTCATCCACCGCTCCTCTCATCTCCAAAGTGGCGCGGTCGTTTCCTTTGTAGATGTACTTGTGGATATATTTGACAGACTTGATAGAAGCACAGACTTCCAGGTTGATGTGGCAGTTGAATTCCACCAGCAGTTGTGGGGGGTGAGGAACAACATCTTTGTTGGTGAAGACATTGTCGTTCTTCTGGATGGTGCAGCCATTATCAGGTCTTGCATACTCTGGGTAGCCATCTTCCTTCATGGATGTCTGGGGACAGAATGACTTTGGAAAATGTTTTTTGCACCGTCCATTCTCCAAGCAATGCTGTGGAGTGCAAGGGCCATGAAGCATGTATTTTTCGACAGCCTCGTAGAGTTGGGGGTGAATGTTTCTATCAGGAATCTGGGCAGAGATGAATGAATGAATCTGTTCCACTGTGCGTATCTTGTCGTTTGGATCCAGGAAGATGAGGAGATGCATGTGAGGCAGACCACGTTTCTGATATTCAATGGTGTACACCAATCCTGCAACCTTTCCATAGTAGCCTTTGCGAACCTTCTTCAAGAGGGCCTGTTGCTTTTGATAGAACACTCGAGCCACCAAATCTGGACGGTCCACAGCACTTTGGCCTGTATAAGTGATTGTCAGCAATGAAGTTATAAATAATGCGTTGAATATGAATTCTTACCTGGCAGGAGATTCTCGGTGATCTCAGGCCAACTCCCATTTGCAGTCATTGTTAGGAAGAGATCAAGCTTTTTGCAGGCACGGCAAATGGCCAAAGAGTCTTGAAGTAGCTGATGCATGTACCGAGGGCTCCCAGTATGAGAGGAGGGAAGAATGATGGAACGACCTGTCTGAGCCAAATCATCCACACCATCATTAAGCACATTGTCTGTCAAACCCCGGTAACAGTCTGCCCGGAGCTGCTTTTGGTTGTTCCGAACCCAGTTCAACTTACTCTGCTCAATGGATGCCCATGCATCAACCACATACTGCTGGAAAAGTCTTCCACCACAAAAAATGTTGTTGTGGTCCATGTGAATGGGGTGAGGATGAAGGCGATAGGCATAATACAGCAGCTGGGTGACTTTTTTTGAGTGTGTGGCAGGTTCACCCTCTCTAACATTGAGAGGGATATCAGAATGCCAGCCCTCCTTGCCAGAAGGAAAGAGAAGGACATAGTGAAGAGTTGCATATGCATGGCTAAGCTGGCTCATGCGCTGAAGTTGACCTCCTTGAAGTCGCAAGACAATATTGTGTTTGTCAGACACCTCTTCAGATCCATCTCCAGGAATAATCACAGCAATTTCATCGGCAGTGGGAAGATTATATCTTCGACCATCTGAGCCCTCCTGGAAGTGAATGCGTACACGAACATCTGTGTGCTGCTCTGGAGGCTTCTCTCGCATGACTTGATAGGCCTGTTTATAAAGAGGAGCATAGGGATGGCTTCGATACAGCATGTCATGGAGTGCTCTGAGAATGCGACAATCAAGACCTTCATTTCCAGGTCGGTTGGCACGGATGTCGGTGGCTTCATCAGGATCATAGATATAAAGTTGGGCATACAATGGCTGACGACCTTCTGGAGGCATAAGACTGCCCATGAGGTGATGGAGGGATCCATGGATATGAAAAGCATTTGGGCCGGAGCCTTGAAGAGCATTGTCCTCGATATTGACGCCCACTGATGTAAATGCAAGAGAGCTGTTATACTGACGAATCTTGGAGACAAATGTTCGGTCTGTATACGCCTGCTGCAGCTCGGGTGGCCATGCTGGAAAGGGTGGAAGGCTGACTTTGCCCTGCAAGCAGCACATGCCAAAGTGTGGATTTCGTAAAGAGGAGTCAGAGAGTCTTTCGCATGCAAAGTGCCTTGCGTGGCAGTTGGGACACTCTACATCAAGGGGACCAAGAGTATGACGGGCAATAGGCTCTGCATATGGTCGACCTCCACCATGGATAGGAAGATTCTGAGCAGGTGCCTGGTTGGCATGCTCCTCATCTTCTGCCTCAGATCGCTGGCGATCTTCCTGCTGCCGATTTCTCCTTCTTTCCTCATCATCTTCGTGCTGTTCTTGAGATGCTGGATCATTATATTCACGTAGTGCTGCTTCTAGATGCACTTCTGCCTGTTGATGTGCTCGCAGAAGATCCTGCTGATGATCTCTTTGTTGCTGCTGCCGGCGAACAAATTCCAGATTGCAAAGATATGTTTGTTGAGCTCTCTCCTGTTGCACGTGAAAGGCCTCTTGATCATCCTGGGCCTGTCTACGAATACGCTCAGCTTCTTGCTGCCGTAATTGCTGCTGAAGCTGTTCCTGATGCAATGCCTCCTGTGCTTGTCTATGAAGCAATTCATTTCTAATCCTCTCGTTTTCTATTTCCTCTGCCTGTAAATGGTGTTGAAACTGAATATTGAATGGTTGATAATCTGGTTGAGGTGGTGCGGGTAATGGTGGTGCAGGGTTAGGAGCAAAGTAGTGGAGAGGATTTTCAAAGTTGTGAGGACCAACTGCACCCTCATAATGAATAGGGCCATACATGGGAGGGGCAGGAGGAATTACAGGTTCGTTAGGGATGTGAGGTTGCTGTGGTGGCTGCATCCCAGCTGCCATGAGCTCTGCCTGTGCCTGCTGTCTTATCTCATCTCTTTCCTGTTGCCGACAAAGATTACGCTGACTGGCGTCTATCATTATGAGCTGCATTCATTTGCTCATTCAAGCATGCATTATAATCAACCCGAGGAAGACGATGAGCATGAGCATGCTCCACATGTGCAATCACATTTCGTGGCCAAGCCGGGATACTGCCCAACTGGTAGAGGTTGATATGGAAAGTCAGGGGGAGGTTGCCATGCAAAAGGTCGTGGAACTGGCCCTGCTTGTGGCAAATTAGCTGGCATGAAATTTGGCTGTGGTACAGGAGGTGGAGGCCTGTCCTGAACAGCATGCCGACAACTGTGTCTACTGGGAGATGTCATTTGAAGTCGATTAAGTCTATCATGTTCGCATTGGGAGTGTCGATCACGTTCTGGTGTTGTCTGTTGCAAATTTCTAAATGGTGCAAAGTGACATGCAGACATTAGCATCATGCACCTTATATGCATAGCGATATATAGTCAGTGACTCATGGGACAGGTAGATTCTGATCCATGTTCACAATTTTTTATTCAAACAGTTGTTTAGCAAGTTCAAAATGAGTTGCCTGAACTCATTAATCAAGTCAGATTGTTGCACATTTCTATCATTGTTGTTGAAACCCACAAAAGGTGTATTACACTTTATTACACTTGGCCGCAGGGGAAGGCAATTTCACTCAAGAATGCAATTCAAAAGCAGCAGCCGAGTTGTGTAATCAATTGTGTAACCAAGGTTCTATTATTGCTTTTGCTAATCTCGATGCCAATTCCCCCAAGGTAGGAATCTTACTCTGTTTGTCCGTGTTTTGTGCGGAGCGCAGTAGGCGTGGAGATTACTGTCCACTATATCGCGTTTGGAAGGAATTTTGGACTCTGTAGAATTTAGCCTCTCAAAATCTCAATCTCACTTTTTTTGAAGTTTTTTCTCAACTCAACCATTAGCAAGCTCAAGCGAGAAAACCACGCGAAATTTCTAAATCAAGGTTTAAGCGAGCTAAGCGTTCCCATGTGGCCTTAGCGAAATACGCGTCTCCCACACACAGCCACAAAACCCGTCTCCCTTTCTTCTTAGACTAGCCCAAGCCCGTTGTGCCTTTGGCACAGGAAGCAAGCAGAGCACTTCGTGCTCTGCTGGAGGCACCTTCGGTGCCTTGTCTCACTGTGTCTACATATTATTTAGTTGTGTAAAATCAATCATTTCTTACATCTTACATCTAAAAAATTATATAGTTTTGTTTTAGTTATGGGATGTTGCACAAACAGTTTGACTGAAGGTTACCTGGGACACTGGCTTGCAATCCTGTGGCCTCGTGCCTTGGCCAGCAGGATGCAAGCCAGTGTCCTAGGTAACCTTCAGTCAAACTGTTTGTGTCTTGCTACTGACTCATGCCTTTCCCCTCAATTCTCCCATCTCCCATCTCCCGTGTCCCATGTCCCGTGTCTCGTGTCCCGTGTCTCGTGTCTCGTGTCCCATTGTCTCGTGTCTCATGTCTCGTGTCCCATGTCCCGTGTCCCATGTCCTATGTCCTGTGTCCCATTGTCCTCCTCTTGTCCTCTCATACTCTCATCGTCCTCCCATTCCCCTGTCATCCTCCCATCCTCCCATCTCCCTATTCACCCCATTTCTCCATTCTCCATCTTCCCATTCCCATGTTTACCCATTGCCCATTTTTCCCATCTTTATATTTTTGCATTTTTGCATTTTTCATATTTTTCTATTTGCTTGGTGTTCTTTTTCTATCCTATTGTGGCTACATTTTTATGTACACACAACTACAGTACATATACATCATTGTTGTTGGAGCCACCTGCCAAATCAGTCAACCCTTACATACTAATGGACGAAGGTTTGCGCAAATTTCAAACACCGCTTGACAGAACCACATGGTATTCCCTTTTTCAGCGCTCCAAGGGAGAAGGGATTCAAACAACCGACGCAAGCGAAACAACCGAAACAACCGACACCATGTGGGCTACGTGAAAATGCCCAAATCCTCCCACATTGCCCCCCTCCCTTCTCCCTTACTTTTTAAGACTAGCCCAAGCCCGTTGTGCCTTTGGCACAGGAAGCAAGCAGAGCACTTCGTGCTCTGCTGGAGGCACCAAAGGTGCCTTGTCTCACTGTGTCTACATATTATTTACTTGTGTGAAATAAATAAATTCTTACATCTTACATTTTAAAAATATTATATAGTTTTGTTTTAGTTATGGGATGTTGCACAAAGAGTTTGACTGAAGGTTACCTGGGACACTGGCTTGCGATCCCATGGCCTCGTGCCTCGGCCAGTGGGATGCAAGCCAGTGTCCCAGGTAACCTTCAGTCAAACTCTTTGTGTCATGCTATTGACTCATACACTTCCTCCCAATTATCTGATTTCCTATCTCCTGTGTCCCATGTCCTGTGTCCTGTGTGTCTCATGTCCCATGTCCCATGGTCCTGTGTCCCACTGTCCCATTGTCCTGTTGTCCCATGTCCCATTGTCCTGTGTCCCATGTCCTGTGTTCTGTGTCCCATGTCCTGTGTCCCATGTCCTGTGTCCCGTGTCCCGTGTCCCATGTCCCATGTCCTGTGTCCCATGTCCCATTGTCCTGTTCTCCCATCTCCCATCCTCCCATTGTCCTCCCATCCTCCCATTGTCCTCCTATTGTCCTCCCATTCTCCATCCTCCCATTCTCCTGTTTACCCATTGCCTATTTTTCCCATCTTTTGTCACGAATCCCCAATACGAACCATTTTTCATTTCTTGGTTTTCCTTCGGCTACTTCCAGTACCCGAGCCGGTCACGTGACTCATCGTTATAGGTCACCCATTGCTTCTCTGATTGGTTCCCCTACTCCACGGGCTAGAACAATCTCGCTTCCCAAAGAAGAACCGGTCGGAACTTGGGTTTCTGTTTAGTTGCCGTCTTACTCATTTGCTTATATATCATGAGTCATCTTTAGTCATCCACAGTAGTTGTACGACTCTTTTCTTATTGGCTGATTTCTTTCAGACTCCTATTCAATGTTATGTATAAGAGTAGGCTAGTTAGCGTAAGTACTCCTTAGACTTAACCTCTTCATTTCTACTGTTGTAGTGACCTAGACGTCAACGCTCAATCTACCCTGTTGCTCGTTATCATCTCTGACCGAGTCCTAGTGGTTGTGCACTCACCTTCAACATTATTGTTGGACGTCGGTCATAACATTTTTATATTTTCGCATTTTTGCATTTTCACATTTTTGCATTTTCACACTTTCACATTTTCGCATTTTTCATATTTTTCTATTTTCTTGGTGTTCTTTTTCTATCCTATTGTGGCTACATTTTTATGTATACACAATTACAGTACATATACATCATTGTTGTTGGAGCCACCTGCCAAATCAGTCAACCCTTACATACTAACGGACGAAGGTTTGCGCAAAATTCAAACTCCGCTTGACAGAACCACATGGCATTCCCTTTTTCAGTGCTCCAAGGGAGAAGGGATTCAAACAACCGAAATAAGCGCACTAACCATCGCCAATTTATACTACCGACGCCATGTGCGTTACGCGGAAATGCCCAAATCTTCCCACCTCCCCCCCTTGCCTTCTCCCTTACTTTTTAAGACGAGTCCAAGCCCGTTGTGCCTTCGGCACAGGAAGCAAGCAGAGCACTTTGTGCTCTGCTAGAGCCACCTTTGGTGTCTTGCTTCACCATGTCTGCATATTATTTATTTGTATGAAATCAATAATTTTTCACATCTTACATTTAAAAAATATTATATAATTTTGTTTTAGTTGTGGGATGTTGCACAAACAGGGAGACTGAAGTTTACCTGGGACACTGGCTTGTCATCCCATGGCCTCGTGCCTCAGCCATCGGGATGCAAGCCAGTGTCCCAGGTAAACTTCAGTCTCCTGTTTGTGTCTTGCTATTGACTCATGCCCTTCATCCCAATTCTCCCATCTCCCGTTCTCCTGTCCTCCTACTGCTCTAATAATGTCACATCACCCATTTCATACATCACTCCCATCCAATCAGAAATCAAATCATATTATAGGAACAACTCTAACACAAAAAACTATTCAGAAGGCTCCCAGCCAGGTGGAGGGCCCTCCCTGCGTAGCTCATCCAAATGCTGACACTCCTCTCGACTTTTTCCCTTCTTCTGCTCAAAGATGTGCTTTCACCAAGCATCCACCACCTTGCGACGCTTTCGACATTTCAGTGCCTCCTCCAACTGAGAGCAGAAGGTATCCACATCCCTATCATCACTCTTGCGGTCATGCTCAAGTTGCTCTTCCCACCACATGATATCCTTTGCCAACTTTACCTTAGATCGTTGCAGGTCATGGAGTTGCTGATCCATGGCATTGCGATCCTCTCGCCGAGTGGCGACCTTAGCATACGGGTCGTTGACTTGTCTCCGTTCAAGACGTGTCATGTGGCTCTCGGACCAGCGGCGATGGAGTTCAGCAGACCAGTCGGTCACAGCAGGCGCCGACAACTCAGAAGCAGCAGGTACTGGAGGAGTTGTGGAGGTGGGAGGTGGGGCCAGCATGTTGACAGGCTGGCGATAACATCGCTGCAGGCGGGCAGCAAAACTTGCATCAAAGCCCTGCAGAAGCCTGGCATTCCAGTCGACAGTAGGTCTGGGCTCCTGCCTTGCAGCTACCATAAATATACAATCAAACAGACATAGAGAGAGAACAACTCACCTGGGGACATGGCCTGGAGTGTCACATGATGTGGCCAAAAATGCGCCAGAGCCAGCATCAGGTGCTGAGGAAGCACTGAGAATAGTTGCTGTAAATTGTGTGATCAGACAAAAACAGATGCCGAAGAACTCACATGGTGACGTGACCCGGTGTGACAGGGAGCTCCGCGTCACGTGACGCGTCCAAAAACGCGTCCAAACCATTGTTAGGTGCTGGGGAAGTGTTGGAAATGGCCATGGTTGGGTGTTGAGGGCACTGAGAGGCAGTAGCTGATGGTGAGAGGTGATGGCAGGTGATCAGAAGCGATGGCAGGTGATTGGGAGCTGATGGAATAGTAGAGCAGTGTTGTGTTGTGTCGCGTCGCGTCGGTGCTGAAAAAAAAAAAACCATGCAATGTTGCCAAATCGAGCGAAATGTACATATAACCAAATTCGGACAGTGAGCTCATATAGTAACGGACGATGGTTTTGGGAAGTTCAAACTCCGCTTGACAGAACCATGTGGGATGCTTTTTTCAGCCAACTTAGCGAAATAAGCGGGAAAAACATGGCATCCACATGGACGCCATGTGACGAAACATGGACGCCATGCGACGAAACGTGGCGTCCATGTGCAGGTGGCTGCGTTCCCACCCTCCCCCCTCACCCTTCTCCCTTACTTTTTAGACTAGCCCAAGCCCGTTGTGCCTTCGGCACAGGAAGCAAGCAGAGCACTTCATGCTCTGCTGGAGGCACCTTCGGTGCCTTGTCTCACTGTGTCTACATATTATTTAATTATAACAAATCAATAATTTCTTACATTATATAGTTTTGTTTTAGTTATGGGATGTTGCACAAACAGTTTGACTGAAGGTTACCTGGGACACTGGCTTGTGATCCTGTGGCCTTGTGCCTCGGCCAGCGGGATGCAAGCCAGTGTCCCAGGTAACCTTCAGTCAAACTCTTTGTGTCATGCTATTGACTCATACACTTCCTCCCAATTATCTTGTCCCATGTCCCATTGTCCCATGTCTTGTTGTCCTGTGTCCTGTTGTCCCATTGTCCCATGTCCCGTGTCTCATTGTCCCGTGTCCCATTGTCCCGTGTCCCATATCCCATTGTCCTGTTCTCCCATGTCCCATTGTCCTGTGTCCCATGTCCCGTGTCCTATTCTCCTGTTCTCCCGTGTCCCATGTCCCATGTCCCATGTCCCATGTCCCATGTCCCATGTCCCATGTCCCATGTCCCATTGTCCCATGTCCTGTGTCCTGTTGTCCTGTTCTCCCGTGTCCCATTGTCCCATGTCCCATTGTCCTGTCCTCCTCTTGTCCTCCCATCCTCTTGTCCTCCTGTAGCCCTCTCATCCTCCCATTGTGTCCTCTTGTCCTCCTCTTGTCCTCCCATCCTCCCATCTTCCTATTCACCCCATTTCTCCATTCTCCATCTTCCCATTCCTCTGTTTACCCATTGCCAATTTTTCCCATCTTTATATTTTCGCAATTTTGCATTTTCACATTTTTGCATTTTGCATTTTTCACATTTTTCTACTTGCTTGGTGTTCTCTTTTCTCTTTTCCCCACAAAAATCCCAAAATCCCTTGTTGTCCTTCAATTTTTACTATTTATTATGTATTCACAGTTGCAGTACATATAAAATTCATTGTTGTTGTGCAAAATGGAGGGCCAGTGAGCACTTGCCAATCCCATTGTGGCTCAATTTTTACAAATTCCCACGTTTGGACAGTGAGCTCGTATAGTAAGGGACAATGGTTTTTTCAAATTCAAACTCCGCTTGACAGAACCACATGGGATCCTTTTTTCAGCGACCTTACCGATGCAACTGACGCAACTGAAACAACCGACACTGCCGACACCATGTGGGCTACGCGGAAATGCCCAAATCCTCCCACATTCCCCCCCTCCCTTCTCCCTTACTTTTTAAGACGCGTCCAAGCCCGTTGTGCCTTCGGCACAGGAAGCAAGCAGAGCACTTCGTGCTCTGCTGGAGGGGCCGTTGGCCCCTTGAGTCTTTATCATTTCAACACAATTTCAATAAATAAATTTTTGTCATATAAAAATACACATTTATACAATCTGTTGTACATCAATCTTCAATCAGTCTTCTAACTACCTCTGTGTACACTATATTGCTTGTCTTTCTCTCCTCTTCATCTTCAGGGAAAATCACAAATACTCTTGATGGGTGAGTGCACCGAGACAAACCCACATACAGCTGTCCATGACTGAACACAGGTGTCCTCAAATTTAGACCAACCCACTTGACACTCTGACCTTGAGCCTTGTTGATAGTCATGGCAAATGCAAGTCGCACAGGGAATTGTCGACGCTTCAGAGGAATGGGGTTCTCTTCATCACTGGCCTCCATATTCATCCGAGGAATCAGCACAGTGTCTTGATCTTGACCATCCACTTGAGAATTCTTGTGTTCCAATCCACCAGGATCATCCGAGTCCCATTATACAGTCCCTGTGTGGGGTCCAAGTTGCGCAGGAGCATCAGAGGCACTCCTTTCTTCACCTCCAGTCTGTGCAGAGGGAACCCTGATGGGTTGAGAGTGTGAAGGAACTCTTGAGGGATGTATTCATATTCCCTGTCTGTCACTGAGTCTGCACTTGTGAACAATTTCTTGTCTCCAGCAAATGAGTCGAGAATTGAGGTGTTGATCTCGTCCACATCAGTGTTTTTTGCAGAGAGGATAGTGTGGTCCAGGAAGTAGGAGTCAGGCAAGGGAGGATGATTGGGTTGGAGGACATCAGAGTAAAGTTTGTTGATCAGGGATGGGATGTCATTGTTGGGACATTGCATTCCTTCTGGGAGAGTCACTGTGCCATCTCCATCTGTGCCCATACCACCCCCAATCTCAAGGAGCCATGCAGCAAATCAATCAGATGCAGGATCTTGACCAAGACACATGTTTGTCTTGAGGTGGAAGATGCGAAGTCTTGGCCAGAGGCGAGATCTGCAAAAGGTGGCACTGACAATCTGCTCCCTGGATCCATGAGGCACCACTGGCAGGGTCTGTCTGAAGTCTCCTCCAAACAGCACAGTGATTCCTCCAAAGTCGGCATCAACACCAAGAAGATCACGCAAGGTACGGTCCAAGGCTTCCAGGTTGTGACGGTGGAGCATTGGTATCTCATCACAGATGATCAGAGAGGTGCGCTTCAGAAGCTCATAGACAGGATCACCCTTCTTGATGTTGCAAGTGCTGTCCTCATGGATGGGGATGGGGAGCTTGAAACGGGAATGAGCTGTTCGTCCACCTGGCAGAAGGAGAGAAGCAATTCCAGAGGAAGCCACACAGAGAACAATCTTGCCCTCAGCACGCAGTTTGGAAGCAATGAGGTTGCAGAGATATGTCTTGCCACATCCACCTGCACTGTGCACAAAGTGGGGATGTCCAGGTGTTTGATCATCACGATTCATGGCATCTTCAACCACTGCATCAAAGACTTGTCTCTGCTCCTGGTTGAGGGTGGGCACTCCTCTATCCACAGCTTCCTGGAGAACGTCCTGGTCATAGTCCAGTTGCTCGACTATCAGCTGGTTTCCCTCCCTGTCCCCCCAGTTCATATGAGAGTGAGGTATGTCAGGGAAGTTCACCTCGAGGGACTTGGCATTCTTGTGAAGAAGACCATCGATGAGATAGAGACCATAGTCATGGACCTGCTCTGGAGTGGGATCCTGGATGTGCAGTCGATGAATGAGACGGTGACGCAGATCATCGCAAAGATTATCCTTGAAGTTGTTCCAAAGCAGATGAGGGTTGGTAGGGAGGCAGTGGAGGAGTATGATGACAAAAAGACTTCGCAGGCCATGTCCAGTGCACATGTGAGAGGCCTCTCTCAAGCATTGCTTCCATTCCCCATCATCATCAAGGAGACCTCTGAGCTGACATGCTTCCTTGAAAGTAGCACAGACATGATCGTCAACAGTGCAAAGGTTTTCATAGGAGGTAGCCCCTTCAAAAAACAATAGTCAGCAGATGGCAGACATGAGAGGGATCAAATGATACACACCTGGAACAACAGTCAGAAGCAATCTCAGATAGAAGCGCTCTCCAGAGTTGGGTCCAGCAGCATACATTCTTCCAATTGCTTTTCCGCATTGGCGTTCCTTCCATGCCTTCCTGTCAACCCAGACAAAGCAGGAGGGAAAGTCTTGATAGAGATAGTCATGGGCTCCAGCTGCCACCAGGTCTTCGTCAGAATTGGCTATGAACCATCCAGTAAGGCAAGTCCCCTTGGCTGCAGCATGGTCCAGAACATCTTGGGCATCATCCTCAGGATCATAGACGACCATCTGCTCATCAGGGAGGTGGACTGGCAAGCGATAGACAGTGGGCCATTCCTTGTGCATCTGAAATTCAAAGATGCGCCACATAGCCTCGACAGAGCTGATGTATCTGGAGTCAAGGTATGATTTGACCTCATCCACTGCTCCTCCCATCTCCAAGGTGGCACGGTCGTGTCCTTTGTAGATGTACTTGTGGATGTACTTGACAGACTTGATGGACGCACAGACCTCCATGTTGATATGACAGTCGAACTCTGCCAACAGCCTTGGAGGATAAGGAACAACATCTTTGTTGGTGAAGACATTGCCATTAGGCTTCTGGACTGTGCGGCCATTGTCAGGTCGTGCATACTCTGGATAGCCATCGTCCTTCATGAGTGTTTGAGGACAGAAGGTCTTTGGATAATGCTTCTTGCAATGACCATTCTCCAAGCAACGTTCTGGAGTGCAGGGACCATGGAGCATGAATTTGCTGACAGCTTCATAGAGTTGTGGATGGAGGTTCTGGTCAGGAATCTGAGCAGAGATGAAGGAGTCGACCTGCTCTGCAGTGCGTATCTTGTACTCTGGCTCGAGGAAGATGAGGAGATGCATGTGAGGGAGACCACGCTTCTGATATTCAATGGTGTACACCAATCCAGCAACCTTTCCATAGAAGCCATCGCGAACCTTCTTCAAGAGGGTCTGCTGCTTCTGATAGAATACTCGAGCCACCAAGTCTGGACGATCAACAGCAGTCTGACCTTTATGACTGATCAGCAATGAAATCATCAATAAGGCAAAAAATGCGAACTGACCTGGAAGAAGATTGTCAGCAATCTCAGGCCAACTCCCATTTGCAGTCATGGTGAGGAATAGGTCTGGTTTTTTGCATGCACGACATATAGCCAAGGAGTCTTGAAGGAGTTGATACATATAGCGAGGACCTCCACTATGAGAGGAA